TTCATGTGGACGCAGGGCAGTACACTTGTCCTGTGGACGGTTGCGGGCGGGCCTTCAAACATCGTCGAGCGTTCGTGAAGCATCATGAAGTGCACTTTCCCGCACTTGATCGTAGGCGGTTTCGCTGTGATTTTGCTGGCTGTTGCAAATCCTATACCACACTACAGTTGTTGCAGGATCACCAGAACACACATGAGGCACTGGTGCCGTATGTATGCGATCACAAGTCGTGTGGACGCAGCTTCCACAGCAGTGCGCTCCTGACTGCCCACAAAAGAATTCACCTACCAGTCGAGAGCAGGATGCGGGTCCGATGTTCAGTGCACTCATGCGTGCAGTTGTTTCGGACGTACCAACAGATGGCCACCCACCGACAAAAGGCACATGATTTTCCCAAATACCGGTGTAATGCGTTGAACTGTGGGAAGGAGTTCACACGTATGGACAGTCTGACCAGGCACCGGGAGAGAAGCCGTGCTTGCCGTCGGTAATCGTTGTTCCGAAACCGAGAATGTGTACCGGCCCTATTCAGGGCCACCATATATTGATTGAACTCATCGAATTAATTCACTTTACACCCTCATCGGTTTCGCAGAACTCGGTGCATTGTTAGTTCTTCCTCGTTAGGCTGGGTGTCGTTGAGCTTTCACAGTGATCTAGGTATGAACGGCCGACTGAGGCAGATATTTGACCTGCCGTGGTATGCATCGAACTGCGTACTTTACGGGTGAGCAATGCGTATGGTGATGGGGTAGGAGTAGGAGGAGACGATCGAATAGGTCGCATGAGGAACACCGCCATGTAGTTCTCTGGAGGTTTTTTCTAACTAAATAGGGTAGAAAATCCCAGATTGTGATGAATCACTTGAGCAATGCAGTCGTAAATTCTGCATGTATGTATCTGATACCTGCCCAGCACTTGAAACAAATTCATGGTGTTTCATGGCATTTTACGATTTGCCTTCTACACCACACCATCTCTACACACATTGGTAAGTCCTGTAGAACGTGCCGTTCGTAGTCGGTCGATGATGAATGTAGAATGTGACAGCCATGTGTGTTATTGAACTTGATGAGAGAATAGGGTGACAGGTGTATCGTAATTGTGATAGCACCGACTAACTGGCGATGCATGTGGCTTTAGCTGAGTGTGGCGGGTGTCATAGTGTAATGGGATCGGAGCGGGGTGAACTGCGATCGTCCTGCAGTCCATACGTGTAACGAACATCATAACGTTCAGTTGGTGTCGCACAGCTGTGAAGCGCTGAGTGCCGGTCTCCGGGTCATATGAAACAAAATTTCATGATCGACAGCGCTACCCTAAACTGCTGACTGATTTAGGAATCAGGAATTACCATTTATCGATTTTTCTTGCTTCGTTGTGGTATTGTCTCCTGAGACAGTTGAGGGCGTTGAGCCAACTGGGCCCTCAATATGTGCGTTTAGGCAACGAGTACACCGGGAGGGAAGTGGGACCGTTAGTGCTCTTGTTGTGAGGTAATTAAGTTGCTTATCAGGTAACAAACACCAGCAAGTGCCTGTCTTACTAGAATGTCATGAACAGAATAGTAGGTGAACTTGATCAAAATAGATACGATTCGAAAGGTGGGAATAAGCCACAAAGTGACGAGGACGCTTGCTGAGAGTTCCTGATTGAAGTTCCGGAAGCGAAACGTGTCTTTTTCGCAGTATAACTGCTACATGTGTTCCGTAGTTGGCCGTGGAGACTTGAGGAGCTCTGTTGACTTCCTGTCCTGTGCGCGCGTATGTGTATTTGGTCGAGTTGCATGCCTGTTTGTTGTGTACAGTTTGAAGAGAGGAATGTCTCTTGGTGTTTGATAATTGCACGAACATGAATACAACTTGACCTGATGTGTTGAATGAAGTTCATAAGCCTGGCGTGTGACTCAAGTGGTAGCCGCGTAAACAAAATTGGTTGAGAAGTCTTAGTGTACATGTCGACTAAGGTTGCAAGTGGGACATGAGTTGTCACGTGGTTTGAGTGTTTGTGACGCGTGATCAAGTGAGTAACCTCTTCAAGACCAATTAATTTGTCTGTGTGCGTGCGGGAACTGCTCAAAATTTTGTGAGTTCAGTGCACCCAACTTTACGCCTCAAAAACCGTTTTGTATGACGACTCAGATTGTGGAGAGAATTTCGTTGATCGAACAGTTGTGCCGATCCACTGAGCACAACAGATCAGTCCTGGTTACCCCGGTAAATGTGAAGACCAACCACTTGCGAGGGATTTCCCCAGGGCCTACTGTCCTTCAGGACATTTTGACCAGTTGTCACGCACAGATGATCCACGATTAATTACTCTCTCTTAGGTTCACAAACGTCTCGAAACATCGCATTGTTTCCTGAGCTATTGTGAGATCAAATTAGTCATTTTACCCTAGAATATGTGGAATTCAGATATTCTTATCCGCTAGAATGATGTACTAGGGCAGCTGTCTTCCGAGCCTGTTTCCTGGTCCGAACGCGTCAATCTGAAATGGCTAGCTAGCTAATGGGAGTTCCTTAGTTCTGATTTGAACCGGAATCGGTAACGATGACTGGTTGCCCTTGCGCCACATACATCCACCAGGCTAGTTACCGGGGCACTCGCTCGTACGGTGACATGGATAGATGAATTGATACACATTTATTTATTCATTTACTCATTTTTATTCAATTATTTATTCAGACGACCCGATAGAGAAACTGATATGTAGATAGGACTATATATATATATATATATATATATAATGTATATATAATGTATATATAAGTAAATTGTTAGACAGATTGGATGGTAGATGCACAGAAAGATAACCAAATGGATAGATGGAAGATAGATGGCCAGATGGATAGATAGATAGACAGCCCGGTGGCTAGATATTTGCCCGCTTATTTTTCTCAAATAAGGATTCCTGCTAAAAGTTTTTCGGTGTATTTGGTGATATAGATTCGGACTTCAATCTCAGGAGTTGAAAGTTTTTGTTTGTTACAGGTTATACCTTGAAATTATCTTTGGTGTACAACAGGGTCATCCTAATCATGGGTTAGTGGATTTCATGAAGCAGTTCCCGGTTCGAATACATAACACCGCCACGAAATCCTTTCTTGATTCTGTCATCTGCTAAGGTAGCACCCTCCCGCTGGACATGCGTGCCTTGCATGCACGATTTGCTCAAAAATAACCCGAAATGTTTTTGATCCTCAGATAGTGAAAACGTGTCTTAGCGCATCTAGACACCATTTCCTCTGATCTAGTGCGAACATAATACAATCCCAAAATACTAATAATTTTGCCAGCCCATATATAGCGCCACAAAATTTGACCACACCTTTCCGCCAATCTTGGGTGAGTTACGTTTAAGTGGCCAAAATTCATACTTGGTATGGAGATGATATTTAGATACAGAGGCCAAACATCGACAATGATGTGGAAAACATGACCCGCTGTTGCGAGAACTGTGCTCCTAAAGATGTCCTTTATACCGGACGGAACCAACAGCCTTCTGGGTACATTGACTTCACAGACATCTCCGGTGGAGGACGTAATCTGATTTTGGTTGGCGCGCTTCCCAGTTTATTCAAGCTCGTTCTCGTGTTTTTTGTGACTTCATATATTTCCATCAGCGCTTTGAGACGTGCACTTGTATAGCTTGGTTTTCATCAATAAAACCTCTGATATTGGAGGCGAAATAGTAACACTGTTAGGACTAAACCTATGCTTATTCGGGCTTTATACCTAATTTATTTATTCATTTACTCATTTTTATTCAATTATTTATTCAGACGACCCGATAGAGAAACTGATATGTAGATAGGACTATATATATATATATATATATATATAATGTATATATAATGTATATATAAGTAAATTGTTAGACAGATTGGATGGTAGATGCACAGAAAGATAACCAAATGGATAGATGGAAGATAGATGGCCAGATGGATAGATAGATAGACAGCCCGGTGGCTAGATATTTGCCCGCTTATTTTTCTCAAATAAGGATTCCTGCTAAAAGTTTTTCGGTGTATTTGGTGATATAGATTCGGACTTCAATCTCAGGAGTTGAAAGTTTTTGTTTGTTACAGGTTATACCTTGAAATTATCTTTGGTGTACAACAGGGTCATCCTAATCATGGGTTAGTGGATTTCATGAAGCAGTTCCCGGTTCGAATACATAACACCGCCACGAAATCCTTTCTTGATTCTGTCATCTGCTAAGGTAGCACCCTCCCGCTGGACATGCGTGCCTTGCATGCACGATTTGCTCAAAAATAACCCGAAATGTTTTTGATCCTCAGATAGTGAAAACGTGTCTTAGCGCATCTAGACACCATTTCCTCTGATCTAGTGCGAACATAATACAATCCCAAAATACTAATAATTTTGCCAGCCCATATATAGCGCCACAAAATTTGACCACACCTTTCCGCCAATCTTGGGTGAGTTACGTTTAAGTGGCCAAAATTCATACTTGGTATGGAGATGATATTTAGATACAGAGGCCAAACATCGACAATGATGTGGAAAACATGACCCGCTGTTGCGAGAACTGTGCTCCTAAAGATGTCCTTTATACCGGACGGAACCAACAGCCTTCTGGGTACATTGACTTCACAGACATCTCCGGTGGAGGACGTAATCTGATTTTGGTTGGCGCGCTTCCCAGTTTATTCAAGCTCGTTCTCGTGTTTTTTGTGACTTCATATATTTCCATCAGCGCTTTGAGACGTGCACTTGTATAGCTTGGTTTTCATCAATAAAACCTCTGATATTGGAGGCGAAATAGTAACACTGTTAGGACTAAACCTATGCTTATTCGGGCTTTATACCTACAGCCATTGTGTAATCGCATGCATACCATCAAACGGTTTATCATTTAAAAATGATGAAGAGAGAAACTTCATCACTCTACTGGACAACGCTCTCTGTACATACCGCACTACTCCAAATAATTTGGTACCTAATAATCAGGCGTCAACCGAATTTTCCTGAACAACCTCAGATATCATCCTATCACCACATTTATGTACCATCAGAAGCGGACGCCACAGAGTCTCACCCTGTCAGATAATCACATGGGGCGAATCAATCTGTCTACTCAAAGTTATGGACTGTAACAAGCGTTGGTTTCTGAGAATGGTGCTGTGCTAATTTGTAAATTGATTCGCGCACACGTTGAGCACTGCAGCACTACACGACCACCCACAAACATGTGTCTTGGACGATATTTTTTCATTTTCCGTTGATTGTTTGTCGAACATCTATGTAGCAAGGCCAAACAAAACCCTCTTGCAAGCAATTTGTGCACTGTAGGTTTTGTGCGTTTGCCTTGTGGCTCAATACAAGCAGCCAGAGTTTTATAAACCGCGCAGTTAAAATTCCTGCTTCCGCCATCGGGTGGTCAGTAAATTTGGCAATTAATGTAACGCGTGGGCGGGTGCAGTAATTGGGTAGCCTGATGAGGACATCCACTAGGTTGTGACGTCTAAATTCACGATGGGAACTACGGTTCAGCCTCGTTGTGAAGGCCCATTCGTTGCGGGAAGGACCAGCGGCCGACGAGAGTGCCGGTTCAGGGAAATCGACTAAATAGCAAGCCATAACTCGAACGCGTAACTATACTTTTAACACCCAATGCATCACCGGCATATCTTCTAATGTAGTATCGGGGGGGAATGAGTTTCAAGAAGTTGAGAGTATTTAATAATATAATCATTCTTGTAGAATTTCCATGTGTTTTACAAACAGAGTAAGCTATTTTGATCATACTGGTGTATTGTGATCATAAGCATCCGTGAAGTTTAGCATGAATCAGCTGTTTCTTTCCATTTTTAGTGCATGATTCCGATGCGGAATATCTAAGTGTTTTACCGTCCTCCTATTAAACCATTTAATGACCATATCTTCAGCCAGTAAATCTCACTGCACTAATCGGCACATTACGTTAGGAAACCCCTTGTGTGTCACCAGGTATAGACTGTCGTATTGACAATCCTCGCTAAGTGTTGATGAAGACCGTTTGGGTCACTTGTCAGCTGGATTTGTGTAACATATAAACCAATCAAAGCAACGATAGATCTCAGACGGATGTAGCCCTATTTACTGTTTTTAGGGAATAACATGAACTTTGTGAGGTCCATTTCTCTGACCGAATGCAAATGGCCATTGAGATTTCGTCCTGTAAGTGAATTCAATCTTTATTAAAAAGCTAGGAAGCACCGTACAGCTGTTTCATTCATATTGGGAATGGCCAGTAGCGACCATTTCACGAAACCCCAGGAAATGTAAATAAGTAGTCAACTCAGGTACCCTAAGGAAACAATAACGTTTTCTATCAGGGTTTGGAGCCGCAGAATAGGTCATCGTGAATTGGTTGAAGAGAGGCAGACATATTTCGTGGAGAGTTTCCGTGATTATTTTAGACAGTGATGCTGATGCGCATCCACGCACTTAGTGATTTTGTCAGATTACTGAACAAATTTCTCAAAGGCGGACATACTTCAAACCTCGCTGACAAAGCTATAGGTGAACGTCTCAAAACAATCGTTTCGTGAGCGACGAAAAGACTGTGCAGCAGGAGATTCAGCGGAAATACTTTCTCAGAAGCCTGAGGGAGTTGGTAGGTGAGGGTGGTTTCGTATGGAATACCAGTATAACAGGTGGTATACATTTCTTACCTTATAATGCCCGTACGTTTTTAAGAAGGACCTAACAAGTAGGCTTTCCAAAGTTTTGGGAAAAGTCAGGTCTATCAGTAACAATTTGTGGGCACACTGCTAGGCTGAAACTGTATTATATCTACCTGCCATGGTGGCTTTTGTGAGTGCATGGTATTTCAAATGAAAAACAATGTGTCCTGTAAATCCCTTGAGTTGTTTTTTTTATTTCGGACTTTGATGTGGCAAAATGATCATTCTGCAAGTAATCATTTAAGCTATATTCGGGTCTTGCAGCTCCAAGGTTAAAGGATACCACAATTGATGGGTTCGATTACACGGTTCGGGTTTTAGGATCGGATATAGGCTTGAATCAGGTTATTAGAACCTTTCAGCAACTACCGATTTCATTCTAGAGCTGGATAATGTAAAACAGGTCCTAAAATACATACACATGGCCTCAGTATTCTCTGCCACTGTTGATTTTGACTGTAAAACTCTCGTTTCGGCGGAACACTGGGAAAATGGTTTGATACCAGTATGTTGAATCGACCTAAGACTTTATTTGGGCTAGAAATACTCCTATTATTTAAGTCCGCCCACTGGATTGAAATTCGAACCTAGCAATTCACAATATTTAACGCATGTAGTCTTCAGTACAGTTTACCTGCAATCTAATTTATTTGACAATTAAGCATTGGTATTAGTTCACAGTCGTCAAACAAGTGCCTCGTTGGGTCTATCAAGTAGGTAATCCAGGAATTCGTGGTAATTCAGCTTTCCATCTCCATCCTCGTCATATTCTCTGATGAAGGCCTGCAAATCTTTTATGCTGGTGCTTTCTGCGTTGCCGCTTTCTTTGAGTACTTCATAAAGTTCGTCCATCGTAATATAGCCATTTTTGTCCTTATCAATATTGTGAAGGACCTGGTGCCAACTTGTGTACCTGAAGAGGGAAATAAAGGAGGTTGAGAGTTTTCGTGATACAACCGAATCAGAGTCAAGCAAGAGATGGACCTGTTTGAACGCCCTGTCAGCTGGTGAAGACTTAGTGAGGAGTTCTTTTCTTGACCTAACTCACCATTCACAAGTTTTCGGAAACTCCTCGACAACCAATTACCGATCTCGCTCTTCTCAGGGTGCGAAATGGTTTCCATTAATCCTATGAGAACTGTGTAACGTCAAGGGAATGAATTGCAACATTTCGAATATCGTACCAACTGGATCACAGGGCAGTCTTTACGCAGCACATTCACTTGAAGAATACCACGAACGGACGTTTCAGCTAAGTCTCTAGTCAACACCACAACAATTTGCAAATGAGAGTATCTCATCAATTAGTTATGAGATGATCGGGTCGCAACAAATTATCTTCAGTGTTTCTTTACCTGGCCAATTGTATTCGATGTTTCGCTACAAAGGGCAGCATAAATACAAGCAAAGACAGGGAGGGATAAGACGTACAACCAAGCGACGCACTTGCAGCACCGAATATATGTCGGCAGAATTCATAAGGAGCAGGCCTTCGAAAAAGTGTCGGGAACTAAGCCACCCCCATTCGTGAAGTCCTCCAGTCTGGTTTGCAACATGTGCTTTCCTCCACAATATGTATAATTTAGCCTCCTCTTACAACCTTTGAATGGAAGTTGAAATGGGACGAATCAATGATGATTCACTGGTGTATGGGAGGTTTTCTTGGAGGTTTTGATGAACACGGCTGACAGGGAGCTAACCGAAATACTACCGCCGGAGAATGATTTCTACGGAGTTAAACACCTCTTCAAGGCTCTTATTTGTACACAGCATTAATTTTGGAGGCGTTTTAATAGCTGCCTCGTTTGTTCTACCCCACTTTACTGACAGTAGCCTCTACGAACGTAGTGGTGTGAAGCATCATTACGCTTCACCGAGAATCAACTAGTGTTAACTATGGGTGCATGGGACTAGCATTCGTCCGAACAACTTGTTCTTTCGAATACGCATAGAATGATAAAACCCCTGTGACTGTCAGTTTTCGTATAGGTGTACCGTATCTGGTGCGCTGGATGGCGTAACTGCATCTCCCTGACACAAAGACTAAGATACTGTTTCACACAATGCCACAACCAAAACGCCACACGGTGCGCGACCCTGAAGAAGTGGAACACCAAAGGGTTAGCCGGTCGCAATCGCCTGCAGTGGTCATTTATAAGCGGTGTTGCTGGCACATTCCCACCGGGTCATAGGTGGAAACATCTAAATGCAATAAGGATTGTCTGAAAGGGAGCGAATAACGGCGAATATTATCTGGATCGTGTTACAGCCGAATGCAAAATCTGGGAAGCTTGAGAAAGTATTAGCAATATTACCCACTTGTGACAGCGTTGAGCACTCAAAAGGAAACTGTCTTATCTTGCACTAACATCGGGAGTATGGATAGTGGTGCTGTATGTGTAGCACGATTAGATTAGCAATGAGGCTTTATTTTGGTTCAGTGCAACCACCAATTATGTGCGGTCGGTAACATTCGGTAAATTGCGGTGACATTCTCATGCATTGCCAGTAATCGTAATACGTTCACAAGGAAATGTCTACAA